CACTTCTTTTTCACAAGGGATTGCTATTCACTGTTGACATGAATATGTTGCCAGTGGCAAATGTATCATTAGTTGGCTTTCTACTGCTATAGTTGACTTGTAACTCTCAAACCTGTTAACAGATTAGTTATAGTTAATGCTTATAGATTAAGCCTCTAAATCTTGCTATTCCATTGAATCTCTCATTTAATTGACCCTGTCTGCATGCCATCCTGTGAATCAGTACATGTGGCGTCTCAACTAGCCCTCATGCAGGAGATCTTCTAAACACCCTTTCTGTCTCCATCTGCCCAGTGGCCCCATCAACACTGGCCAATCAGTAAAGCAATGCTGCAGCACATCCCTGTGAAAGGCAGTCCAGAGGAAGAATCGGGACAGATCCCGAAAGATATCGACATCCTGTTTTTAATCAACACTGTACCCTGCTGTAGCTGCTTCTAACATGCTTTAAACACGGTCAGTTGAGGGCAAGGGAAGCAACTTCCCAGCTTCCCCATGAACTAGGTTTAGAACATATGCATAACAGCTGATTTACAGCTTGTAAAATAACTTCTCTTAACTTCTCTTTGGATGCCAGTTTGTACTTCCTGTTGTGGCTTGAGGTTCTTTCTCTTTTCTTTTAGTCAGTGAATGTCTAAACCCGCAAATAAACACACCAGCAAACTAAATATGTCTCTTGCCACATGGGACCAAAAAAACCAAAGCCAAAAATGTAATCACTTGTATACTGTATCTGCATCTGAGTGCCAAAAGATCATCAGTGATATTCTGAATAAAAAATAAGAATGGATGTCACCCCACTCAGAAACGGATTCTAAGAATGAAATATATGTAACACGATTCAAAAAGTCAAGTTTAGATTGCAGTTTTTAAAACAGTAAGTAAATAAATAAACATTTTTACACAGTAAAACGACTTAAAATTAAAATTGCTGTCTTAACCTTTGTGTTCCAGTCATGTTGACCCGGAGAGGATATTCTTTTTCCTGAAAATGCTTGATAATCACATTAGACTCAAATTTACTGACTTTACTTACACAGGATATAACAGCTTCCCAACAAAACAAGGCTAAATAAATAAATGAATAAGTTAATTTTTGTTGTTGTTATTATTATTATTCCATCTTGTTACACTTGTGGTGGTCAAAATTGACCAGCGTACAAAAATTGCTTATGAATCTCTCATTGTGCACCTCAGATTTTGAGTGAACACTGCCAACATTTTTTTGCACGGAAAACCTGAGGTGCATAAGCGCAAATCAATCAGTCACTTCCAACCTGTGATAATTGGGGGGGGAGACTGAATTTGGTGATACTATAACATAACAAAAGATTTACAAGCAATTTCTTAAAATTTTAAATTAGGTGAAGGATTTTCAGCACATCACAGGGTTAGATCTTTAAATATTTT